GGCCTCCCACAGTGCTGGGATTACAGGCTTGAGCCACCGCACCCGGCCGAAATTTTGTTTTCATTTCTATTTCTGCAAAAGGGTTTTTTTTTTTTTTTTTTTTTTTTCTTATTCTGGAAAGACAAACACAGTAATTATTCCTGCCTGGTTTTCTACATGTTTTGTTATAAACAACCCAAATATATATTTCCCTTTAGATTATGACTTTTTTTGTATAACACATAATAGAATCTGGAGGGGTAATGAAAAGCTTGTAAGAAAGTAGAAGCTGTTTATGAAGGTCTTCTTCAAATGTCTTCAAAAACATTTAAAGATTAATAGGTACATTATATTGAAAGCTGAGTGGCCAACTGGAAACCGAAGACCATTCAGGAGTTTAATTCCTGGGGAGAGTTAAATAGAACAATGTAGTTGGGAAAGTACAGATGGATGATGTGGAATAAATTTCAACTTTAAAAAGTTACCTGAAACAGGTATCTTTAGGCCACTGCTTCTACAGTATTCATCAATGTATTCAATTTCTTAAAATATTCTAGTCCAGGAGATCTCCACCAGTTACTTTATGCATATACACAAGAGGCTAAACAATGCTGGAAAAATACAATGGGGCTAGCTGGTTTTATTTTAAATGTACTTCTCACAACCTCAAACTAGTCTACACATAAGAAAACAGGCCAGTTTTTGTCCCCATCCACTGCAGACTAATAGATACTTTGACAGAAAAAAAAAAAAAACAACTTTGATTTAAAAAAATGCAAATGCTGGACGATGTCAAATTGCTAAAAAAAAAGTTTTTAAAAGTTTTATTTTGCTTCCTGTATTTATCTCATCACAGACAACAAACAGTCCAAGGAAGGAACCACACTTGGAGCGGCACTGAGCTAAGAGTCATCTTAGGCCGATATAACCCAAACTAACTCCTATTCTTTCACCTCAAACCTGCTTTAATCTCAGCCTTCCCTATCTCAGTTGATGACACACCCTCCAGTTGGTCAAATCAAAAAACGTTGGAGTAATCTTTGCTGCTTCTTTCGCTGTTGGCCTATATTTAACCTTCAGAAAATCCTATTGGCTCCACCTTCCAAAAAAACCTGACCACTTTTCAACACACTCCATAGTTTTTCTAGCGTGACCTCTGCACCATCACGTCTCGCCTGGATTACTGTTATACCCGCCAAACATGCTTCTGTCCTCCACTAACCCGTTTCTGAACAGTCTATTCTCGACCCAGCAGCCAGAGTGCTCCTTTTGACACCAAGTCAGATCATGTTATTCCTTGGAGCAAAACCCTCCAATAGGTCCCCATTTTACTCAGTAGAAAAACAAATTCTTACAATGGCCTACAATGCCCTAAGTGATCAACCTTAAGACCTCTCTCACCTTCTCTCCTAATCCCCTTCCCCCTCCCTGGAAAAAAAAAAAAAAAAAAAAAACCACATGAAAAGCGCAGTTTGAAAAGAAGCGGGGATGACTAACAAACAAACGGCATTAAGTGCTTGCCAGACTGACGACCCTCTTGTGCTTTCCCCAGGCACCTCTTAGCCGAGGGTCTCAGCTTCCCTGCCGCCCCAGCTTCGCTACTTAATCTGCCAGACCCAACGCTCTCCTTCTGCCAGTATAATGAACCCCATGAAGCCATAAGAGTCCGAGCTCACCTGGGGCGCCCTGGAGAAACTCGACATATTTCCCAACTAGCAGCACCGTCCGTCCTTCTCCCGGTAGCCAAACCGGGTCACGCAGCCTTACTGGTCCGGCGGGAAACGCTAACACCCAAGCATCACAGTTCCTAGTCCGTCCAGCACTCGTCGGCTTCTCCCTCTTCCTTTAGTTTCCTCCAGTCTTCCCCACCACAGCAATTTCATCATGAAAGGAGCAGATAATGCAGTTATTTAGAAAATAACTCCCTAAAATAACCCGCTTGCTGGAAAACTGCGGAAAACCGACGGAGGACACAATTTCCAGGCAACCTAAGCGAAGGGAACCGGAAGTGCGTCATAGCGCGCCTATGTTTGGATGTGGTGGCCGAGACCTAAAATTGGGGGTGATTTGTTAGGAGATGGATCGGTACCTACTGCTGGTGATCTGGGGGGAAGGAAAATTCCCGTCGGCGGCCAGTAGGGAGGCAGAACATGGACCAGAGGTGTCGTCAGGTGAGGGTACTGAGAAGCAGCCGGGTAAGCGCTGGGATGAGAAAGGGCGGGAACGATTTGGGAGGGGAAGAAGTTTGAGTTTGTGATCAAGTTCTGCTGGGAAATCAATATCTAGTTGTCTCAAGAAGCTGGGACTCTATCTGGGATAGAGTTAATGAGGCCTGCAAATATAGCATCTTCGTGGAAAAACATGGACAAATTTGTGGATGCAAGATTCCAGCCCTCAGAAGTTCGTGGCATAGGAAATATTTAACTTAACAAATTTTCTTTGCCTTAGTAATGGAATTTCCTACGTTTTGGAAATGTATGCATTTATTATTTCTGTTCCTATGTTTCACATGCAGATGATACAGAAAGGAACAAGGTGAACAAAAATCCTGCTGTCCTAGAATTTACACCTAATGGGAGGAGACATCCCACATATAAACCAAGTTTTGAAAACAAATGATGAATTTTAAATGATCTTAATTGTTATCGATTGCATTGCTTTTTGGTGCACCTGTCTAGATTCAGTATTGCATTTGATGTATTCATTTGTTTCCATCAAAATAGGCATTTTGAGGAGTAAATGTATGTGTTTGTGTATAAGGTGTTGTGACAGTTTCCCTTCAAAATTATTCTTTTGTGAGGAATTTTGCATTTGTGCTAACCGGCTGGAATGTACAGATCGGGAGCCTTTTCTGTTTTTTTCTGCTTACTTTAGATTTACTGTATCAAAACTTGAACAGATCTTGAGCAGTGTGTAGTACTTTTATGTACAACCTACTGGTCTTGAGAGTGTCTGATGGTGAAATTGGACTAGGTTAGATTACGTAAATCTATAGCCCTTTGAGTTAGTTTGCCTTTTCTTTTTCAGACTTCACAGCAGCAAATATTTATCACCTTTTGAAAAGAAGCATTAATGCTTCAATTAATCCAGAAGATAGTACTTTCCCTGGTAAGTATAGTAAACCCCTATTTTCTTTGACAATTCTAGGTTCTCAGCTTAAGTTTTACTCCTTTTATGAAATTTTCTTGCCTATCTTAGTTGTGTATAACTAAGGGGAATGTGGCTTTATGAGGATGATTTTTTTCCTGAGTAAAAAATGTAAATAATGCTACCACACGATTTCCTTACCATTTATTTATTTATTTCTGTTCTTAGCTGTTACTGATTCTCTTAAAAGTACGTAATAATTGCTAAACACAATGAGCTTTTCTCAGTTCTTATCTGCTTTTACTTTTTGAAGTATTTCAAGTTTTTGACCAACCCATAGTTTGTAAAAATCTTTCCTCCTTTAGCTCCTATTGGCATTATGCAAATGCATTTAATTACTTTGATAGTTTTCTTTTATTCCCTCTTCTTGTCCTTTATCAGAGAATGTCCTTTAAAGGTTCTGAAAATGAAGATGCCAAAACAAACCAATACCTAAGAGTTGAAGGAAGTTTCTGTCGATGCAAGGAAGGGTCTGCTCCTTTTGATAACTTTGTAGTTCCTGTGACTATACAATCTGCACCTTTGTCTTCTTTCATTAAAAAACCTCTTCTCTCTCAGTGTCAACTACCACCATCGGGGAATGATTTCTAATAAGCATATGCTGCCCTAGCCTGTTTTCCAAGGCCCAGTAGTATGCATTAATTTTCAAGTTGCTATAATTTTAGTCAATACTGCTATTATTGCAGGAAAGATTTTCTTGCATTTGCACCTCAACTGTATATGTAAAAGAGCTCTTGGGAGAATTGCAGGTGTTCTCATGATAAATTTTACTTTCCACTTGTGTGTTTAGGAGTTTCTTATACACATGGTCCTTGTTTTGCATGATAGTGTGGTACTTTATAATCGATTGTGCAAAGCAATCCTAATATTATAATAATCAATGAGAAAAATTAAAATTGTTCCATGACTTTTAATATCTTTTGTCAAAACATTAAAAACTCTCTTATTGTTATAAATTTTTATGGAAATAAACAAATTGTAAACATTTACTTTGTACACTGTAATTTAAAACCTTAGAAACATTGAGATTTAAAGTGTTTTATTCCTTTGTATTAACCCTATCAAGAGTAGTTAGAACAGTGCCTTCCACCCTCCCATCATCATGTAACTTATGATAGAGTGGATATTTTTTCTTTTATTGGCAAATTATTATATTCCAGTTGTATCAACTTCCAGTGTTTTATTCTTTGATTTTTTTTTTCTTTTTTTGAGACAGGGTTTCATTTTGTTGCTCAGGCTGTAGTCCAGTGGCCCAATCATGGCTCACTGCAGCCTCAACCTCCCCAGCTCAAGCACTCCTTCTTCCTTAGTCTCCTGAGTAGCTGGGACTACAGGCATGAGCCAGCACATCTGGCTTAGAGACAGGGTTTCATTGTGTGGCCCAGGCTGGTCTTGAATGCCTGGGCTCAAGTAAGCCACCTGTCTTTGCCTCCCAAAGTGCTGAGATTGCAAGCGTGAGCCACTGAGCCTGATCTGGACTTTCAATGTTGTAATATATCTCTGAGTTCCATTAATATTAAGGTTTTTGCTAGCATCATTTTCTCTGGGACAGCTTTATGTTTTTCATCAAAATGTGTTTGTCACACCAGCTATTTCTAGAACTCTGTTTACATTAGCTTTGAAGATTGCTTTCAGTATTAGCACTTTTTGTTTCTTTGGTGTTTATCTCTTTTTTAAAAATTCCCTCATCCATTTTTCCATTTTTATAAAATATCACAGGGTTTAGACTGGAAGACCAGGAGGCAACACAATCACATCCTTTGCTACCTGTGTGTGAACTGAATGGCACTTGTGCAGTGACCAATCAGTGACACCCTTTGAAAGTAGTAACATTATTGACTACTGATCAGGACACACATCTTTATATGTGTAGTGATTTTGCAGACCCAGCAACTTGCAATGAAGTCTTAAACTATACAATTATAGTTCATTAATATACCATGGTAAGTGAAATTTGAACCAGGTTGTTGGGGAACTGCTGTTATTTAAGCTATAGTAACTGGAATTTGCACATATCAGAGCCATGCAAACAGAAACTGCCTGCACTGAATTTCCTGCCATACTAGGATTATTGATTTCAGTAATACGGCAAGTTTGTGGGACGGAAAGTACAATATGATTATAATGGGATAAAGGTGGAGAGGTAGGCATAGGTCTTTAGAGGATTTTGTGGTGTCAAGGTGTTTGGATTTTTTCCTAATGGTTATCAGCAGCCACTAAAAACTTTTAATTAAGGAAGAGACATGATCAGATCTGTGCTTTTGAAGTATTCTCCCTGCAGTATAGTAATGAATTAGAGAAAAGTATAGCTGTTTCTGAATAGGGGGATGCTGTAGAAGACCAAATGAGGAACAGGAGAGGCAGCCAGGGTGGAGGAAAATGAATAGATCTGAAGGAAATTATGGGGGTAGAATTCACCTACCTTAGCACTGAATTGGTGTGATGTAGAAGACGGGAAGGATGAGGCAGGAATCAAGGATGACATTAGGTTTCTGGCTTGGGTAATGGCATGATGGTGGCATTTAGTGAGAAAGGAGGAGCAGATTTGAAGGGAATGTGACATGTTCAGTTTGGAACATGTTAATAGTTGCCTGTCAGATGTCAAAGTAAAAATGTTTTATAAAAGTTGGATACGTGTGCCTGGAACTCAAAATGTAGGAAATGCCTGGAGATACTAGGTTGGTGCAAAAATAATGGCGAAAACAGCAATTATTTTTACACCAGCGAATACAAATTATAGAACCAATGTATAGATGTCAGGTGAAGCCATGAGAAACGATGGGATTGCTTATGGATAGTAGGAAGAACAGAAAGTCTCAAACTGAATTCCAGTTTTCAGAAGAACTGAACATCAGTGTTTAAAAGAATAAGAAGGAGCAGCCAGAAAGATGGGTGCCACAGAAGCCAAGTGTTTTAAAGAGAAAGTAGTCAAATATGTCATCTTCGATTTTTCTTTTATGCTGAGAGATCAAATAACAACAGAACTAAAAAACTGCTAGATTTAATAACACGTCAGTTATTGGTGACTTTGGTGAGTGTTCTTTCAGTGGCATATTGGAGGCAAAAAGACTAAAATGCATTTGAAAGGAAGTGGAAAAGTTGATTAGGAAATGGAGACAGGTGTGGACAGCACCTTCAGAAGTTTATCTTTGAGGACAAGCTAAGGAAGACAAGTGGAGATGAATTTAAAGGGACCTCTTTTTAAAAAAAGGAAATACTTTGAGAAAAACTTGTGTGTATTTAAATGGCAATGGCAAAGAACAGACAGAAGGGAGTAGATTGAAATGCAGGAAAGATAATGTGATCTGTGGGATTAGATGAGAGAATCAGGGGTCTCAGGAGGTTTGGAGGATAACATTGAATTGGAAGAACAGTGCCTCTTACATGTTGAAGGGAAGGAAAGAGGAAAGATTTAATGGAATACAAGTTGAGTTGTATGTTTCCTGAAAGGATGTTGTAGAAATTATTACCTAATAGCTTTTATTTTGTTAAGGGGGTAGGAGGCTTTTGCTGAGATTGTTGGAAGAAAGTGGTAATAAGAATTTAGCATCTTACCTAGTTTACATTAGCTAAGCCTCAGTTACCACACTACTTCTTCCTTTAATACCAGTTTTTACACATAGCTCTAAATTCTTCATGACTCCTTGACACATACCCTGGGGTGACCCTTAATCTTGTATCTTCATGTAATACTCCATTCTCCAAAAGGAGCATCTTCCTTATCTTTAGGCTGGGGTTGCTCTTTAACGCCTCTGTCTCTAGTCAGGCTGAACCAATCTGCATGGTGTTTGGAGAGGGAATTGTCTTCATTAAAATGACTTACATGGTTTTGTGTTACTCAGTAATAATTGAGTAGCTGTATTTTCAACATCTTTATGGTAAATTGTAATCTGTGTGAAATGATGATTAAAATAATAAATAATAATATGGATTTTGAATTGTGACAAATGAAAGCCAAGTATTTATTGTGAGTAAAGAATTTTGCTCTTTAGGGAGATTGTTCTATTTGGATTTTTAGCAGGGATTTTTTTAAAAGATTCACATATGTATGCTGGATAATTATGTAATATGTTTCAAAATTACGGTCTCTAAGTACAGTGTATATTCTGTGTCATCTGCTTATTTACGGTCTGCCTTTTTTCTAATAAGTGTGATTTTATTTTCAAGCCTGTTCAGTAGGTGGTATACCTGGTTCCAAGAAGTGGTTCTTTGCGGTGCAGGCAATATGTGGATTTTATCAGGTAATAGAAATTAAAAAATAGCTATTAGTGAATGCCTGTCTAAAGAATTTCATGATCCATTATTTAATGCAATCTTTTGATTTATTAGTTTTGTAGTTCTGATTGGCAAGAGATACATTTTGATACAGAAAAAGATAAAATTGAAGATGTTCTTCAAACAAGTATCGAAGAATGTTTGAGTGCTGTTGAGTGTTTTGAAGAAGAAGATAGTAATAGCAGGGAATCATTATCCTTGGCTGAGTATGCTTTTCTGGTTTTTGTGTTATCATTAAAATACTTAACATTAGACAGTTATTTTAAGCCATGAAAGTGAAGATTGCATATTTTAGCATCTTTACTGAATAAATCCTAGTTAATTGAAATTTTTAACTCTTCACTTTGGAAGACATAAGGCAATTTGGGCCTTTTATTTGAATAAAGTTCTTTAAAATGCATGTTGCTTAAGTGTACATAATGTCAAATCATATAAAAAGTGATATTTTAATTAACATGTTACTTTCTTGAAGATAAATTCTGCCTAATATTCTATTTTATTTTTGAAACAGGGTCTTGCTCTGTTGCCCAGGCTGCACTGCAATGGTGCAGTCATGGCTTGCTGCAACCTTGACCTTCTGGGCTCAAGCGATCCTCTGACCTCAGCTTGCAGAATAGCTGGGACTACAGCTGTGCACCACCACACCCCGCTAACTTTTGTATTTCTTTGTAGAGATATAGTTTCACCATGTTGTTCAGGCTAGTCTTGAATTCCAGAGCTTAAGCATTCTGCCTGCCTTGGCCTCCCAAAGTGCTGGGAGTACAGATGTGAGCCACTGTGCCTGGCCAATAATGTATTTTAAAAGCTTGAATAGAAACATTTTTTTAATGGTAGTAGCTAGCATTCGTGCCAAAGTATCATTCTCATTTTGCTATTTGAGACCAAAATATGTGATTTCTTTAATTTATGTATATTTGCAGCATTTCAGGTACCTTTTAAAATCTGTAAAGATTGACCCAGATGGAAGAGAAATCTTCTTTTAATTTAAAGAAAAAAATGTAAAAAATAAAATCCATAAAGAGTTTGTGAGGATTATATATACATGATTGAGTTCACTTTTAGGTTTTATTGAATTATGGTACAATATGTAAGTTGATCCAGGTGATATAAGTTGTGATAATAATTTTTCTCTTCATGAAATATCTCCTCTTATAGTTAATACCTTTCATTTTAGTCTTCCACAACATTTCATGACAGAAAACTGAGCTTATTTTAGTATCCACGTATTCTGTCTGTTAGTCACTGTAGACTTAAAAAATTTCATTTTTCTTTTTCCAGATCATATTTGTTTGTACTGATTAATAAAAGGAGATCTTTCAGAAACAGATGATTATCATTGAACCAGGGATTAGTGGAGGTGGACTCTATTTACACAGTCTTAGGACAGTCACTTAACTTCTCTGATCCTTTGTTTTCTCATTCATGAGTATTGAAGTACTTTTAGATGATTTCTTAGGTGCTTTCAGTTACCCTTAAAAACTCTTAACATCCCGTATGTTTTCCTACCACTATTAAAAGACAAGTGTAAAAGTTTCTGATAAGTGACCTAATAATTATTTCCACAAGAGGGAGCCTGAAAACTAGAGTTTAGATAGGACGCCTTAAGCTTCTAAGATGAGGATGGGATTATAATAAAGGATTTAAGTACCTTTATGCTATATAATAAACTTTTTTTAAAAAAAATGTGTCATGTATTTAAAACTAATAGGTTTTGAAGAATCTTAGGAGGGCATCATATTATTTAGTCAAGACTGTTGAGTCCCATTCGGAGAAAAATCATATCCCTTTTTATTAAACACAGCATTTTCTTACTTTTAAGATTCAGAACAATGGCTGGGCACAGTGGCTCATGCCTGTCATACCAGTGCTTTGGGAGGCTGAGGTAGGCGGATGACTTGAGCCCAGGAATTTGGGACCGTATCTCTACAAAAAATAAAAAATTAGCCAGGCATGGTGATGTGTGTCTGTACTCACAGCTACAGGCTGGACACTGAGGTGGGAGAATCACTTAAGCCCGGGTGATTGAGGCTGCAGTGAGCTGTGATCATGTCACTGCACTCTAGCCTGGGTGACAGAGCAAGACCTTGTCTCAAAAATAAAAACCCAAAATAAATAAAGATTCCAAAAAATATTTGATCTGTTAGTTACGATTTACATTTAGTATGCTAGTTATAATTTTGGGGGAGGGGGTTATTCCCTTTTTTGTTTGTTTTGGGGTGTGGGTAAGAACTTGTCCTCCAGGCTTGAATCCTAACTTTCATACATACTAGTTACGTAACTTCAGGCAAGTTTTTTAAAGTGGAGATAATAATAGCATTATAGTAGTACCTCCTGGGATTATCATAAAGATCAAATGAGATTATGCATCTAATCTGTTTAACAGTGCACAACAATCTTTTTAGTTAATATTGCCTATTAGGATTATATGTAATATGTATTTGTGGTTTTTTTCCCTAACTTACCCTTTTATTTCAGTCTCTATGAAGAAGCTGCAGAAAATTTGCATCAGTTATCAGACAAGCTTCCTGCTCCTGGTACTATTTTATGATTGCTTTCAGTAATTTGTATCTTATTTTATTACACTTTTTATGAATAAGTAATAAATTCATTCTTTATGTTAGTGTTCTTCTAATCTTCAAATTAAAAATGCAAAACAATTTTTAATTGAAGTTGATACAGAATGTACTCCATTAGAGTACATTACTGAGATGTAGCAATTCTTTTCATTGTTTTCATTTAGTTAGGCAAAAATTAGAATTTAGAAAATTAAATACCTATCTCTGTTTCTTAGTTATTACTGAAGAAAAATCTTCCTACTACAGACTGTTGCTTTTCAGAGTATGTTCTGTAGAAGACTAATCCTATAAACAGCTCTTTAAACAAGAGATTATTTAACCTTGATAATTTGGACAGCGTTCTTTTATGGTGAAGCAACTATATGCATTAGCAAATGGAATGTCATATCGTAAAAGAAAGCGTTTCCTCAGCATTTTTTTTTATAGAACCTATTTTTTTTTCCCATAGTGGAAAGACTATTTTGTAAAATACTATATCATAGTACACGTATTGATCGACTTACCACCTATACAACTTACAACCATTCGACTTTACAAACACAATCGCTAGCCACGACTGCTCCGCGTCTGGCAACGCAAACGTTGCCCAGCTGGGCATACGACAGTGCGGACCAGCTTCTGGCAGCACTACCATCTCTGCATGTACCATTTCAACTGTACATATTGCCTACTCAACTTATGACCAAATCGTATTACGACTGGTCCGCGGCCCCGACCATGGTCGTAAGTCGAGCACTAGCTGTATTCCTAAAACTGGTTTTTGTCTTAAACTAACCTTTATATTAATCAAGTTGCTGTCATCTAGTAGTTGGTATTATTGGTATCCACAAATACTTGGAAGAGCATTCTTTTCTGAATAATTAGTTCATTGAAGGCCATTATTAAGTAGGTATTTGTACTAGGGGCTGAGTGTACCATGATGAATAAAGCATCTATGATTAACATAAAGGACCTTATAGCTCACAGTCAGTCTGATCTCTGTGCTCAAGGAGATCATATATTAGTACAAAAAGCCCTACAAAGAAAAATAACCGAATGAGTTGACAAACATATCAACTTTTAAAATGAAATGTGTTGAGTTCAAAGTATGCACTGAAGTATCACATAGTTGTTTTAGCAAATTAGAATACTTTCATTATTAAATTTATGTTCAGTTTGTTTCTTTTTGATTTTTCTAGTCCTTCAGGATATTTATAATTTTATGAAATTTAAAGTTTTGTGAAGTTATTTTTTCTCAGGAACCAATAATAATGTCAGTATAATTGGTTTTCTGAGTGTTTTATTGTCCTTTTAAAAAGAGGCATCATTTATTTGAACATCACAGTTTGGCACTAATTCATTCTTTTTTGGATAACAAAATTATGTTTAGAAAAATATAATGAAATTGCACAGGTGTTTTTTTTCTCTGTTGAGCACAATAGCATTGATGATGTTAAAAGCAATGTATATAATTAACCACTGCTGCAGAATTGGCAGGCAATTATGATATAGTTTATTGTTTTCTAGTATATGCTAGCTATTTCATCATTTGATTTAAAGCCAAGAGTAGCTTTAAATCAAATGATGAACATTAAAAAATTTTGAACTCCTAAGGACATACATTGTTTTGAAGAATTTTGGAAATTAAAACTAAAATCTTCCTTTGTCTTCTAAATAAATATAAAATTCATTCTTCTAAATAAACATAAAATTCATTCTTCTAAATAAACATAAAATTCAGTTGTTCAGAGTACTATTTTTAGACATATCAGATCTAATATTTAAAAAAAAAATTACAAAAATGCCTTTTTGTCTTTCCAGGTAGAGCAATGGTAGATATAATACTATTGCCTTCGGACAAAGATCCTCCTAAATTGAAAGACTGTTTACCTACTGTAGGAGCATTAAAACATTTGAGAGAATGGTATTTGGCAAAGATCACTATAGCTGGAAATCACTGTGAAATGTAAGCTTCTTTGTTCACATTTGATTATTGTCTGTATTGTGTTTTCACAATTAACATACTATTCTGTTTTCAGAGTCAGCATTTGAAAATTAATGTGACAAGATAAAATTTTATGTTATACCATGATTGCAGATTTGTCTGTTGAGAAGAATCTAGACGTTTCATAGTTTATGTTTCTGAGATATTTGTTTTTAGTAAATATTATTGATGCTGTTTTACAACTATTATCAAGCATTAATTCTATAAGCCACTATTTGCTTTTGAACATAAATACACTGGATTTGTAATGATGTATTTGTTTTTCTGTTATGTGCCAATGTAGAAATAAATATACACTATTGTATTTTTTAATATTTTAGTAAGGTTTAGTTGTATTTTACAATTTTGATCCTTAAGTAAGTATTCAATTGGATTTAATAGCGTCATGATTTGTTTTTATTCAGTGAATGTTTATTGAGCACTACCTTTATGGCAAGCCTAGCAGTATATGCTGGTAAGTTAAAGTGAAAAGACATGATCTTTTTCCCTAAAGTGCAGGGAGAAACAGGAATGCTAACAGTCAAGACAGTCTGTGATAAGTGCTGTTATAGAATTCCATACAAACAGTGTGGGAACAATATAAGAGAGCAGTTCTCCTTTTGAAGATAAGGAGCTGACGTGTGCCTGTGTGTGTGTTTATGTACATCTGATACCTTTAAGCCAATAGTAAGAGGAAAGTGTCTTTCTTCATCCTTAGTACTAAAGATAATTACTCTTAATTTGTGAGGATGTTGGGACAAATGAATATGTGACAGCAACTCCCTTAGAGATTGCCTTAATGGGTGTTTCAATATGATTAGTAGGAAAAATACAGCAATATAAATTTGGCAATTTTGCCTCTTATGCTTATAGTTAACTATAATTATTAAATTAGTAAAATATAAAACCCTGTATTGTTGTAATCTTTTTTTTTATAGAAACTGCCAGAAAATTGCAGAATACCTTTCTGCTAATGTTGTATCTTTAGAAGATCTCAGAAATGTTATTGACTCAAAGGAATTATGGAGGGGAAAAATACAGATATGGGAAAGAAAGGTAAATGAATTATTTAGTTTGCCAAAAAGGTCTTTCAATTTTATTTATAACACAGATATTTAAGTAAATCGTAATGAAAATGTACCTGGTAAAGATATTCTGAAATAGCACTATCTAATTATAACTTTCTGCAATAATGCAAGTGTTCTATATCTGTGCTGATACAGTAGCCTACACACCACTTATTACTCCTGAGCACTTTATATACAAGTAGTTCCACTAACTGAATTTTTAATTTTATTTGATTTTAATTAATTTTAATTTAATCACATAATAATATGATTATGTTTTGAGTGCTGCTTCTAGAATGTAACATTCTTTTAAAACATAGAATTTGACATTGAGTTCATGTTGTTTATCCAAATTGTTTTATTTTGTTACATGTGTAAACTACTAGGAAAATTGCTTAGACCATATTGTCTTGCCATAATACTACTTTAGGTGATCTCTGCTGTTTACTTACCAGCCCTCTAATTTTTGAACAATTTTTTTAACCTTATTGGACCCCAGATTTCTCAATTATAAGATGAGAATATTGTATTAGGTGGACTCTTCTAATCCTAAATTTCAATGAAGTTTTGATTTCATTTTGACATCTCTTACTATGAAAGAATATGTTATTGGGTTTTGTAAGTTATGTCCAGTTTGAAATAAGTATTCATAGTAATTTAAGTATTTGTGTAGATATGCAAAGCTAAACTAAGAAAATTAACGTTTGTTTAGGATAGCATGGGAACATGAGTAGGCCTTTGAGCTCGTCTAAAGTTTTGTTACACTAATTACTAGACATGTTTTTCCTTTTCAATTCACCCTTCATAATGGTTTAATAATATCTCTGATTGGACAACAGGAATCAGTGTGGCTGGATTTGTCTTGTTGATTTGCATGTTTGCTCATCCTAATCTCAGAAAGGTTAAATCTGCAGGTGAACTTTCTCTGCAAGTGTTTTGATGTAAAAAAAAACAAAAGCAAAAAAACCCACATAGCCATGTGGAAGAGTGGAAGATACAGTTTGCTAGATTGCTTTTGTATGTTTTCTGAAACTGCATGTTTACATACAGAAAGATAATGGCAAAGTTCTTTTCATGTGATTCTTTTATTCTCTTTAATAGGAAATTAAATGTACATATCTCCACTGGAAGCATTAAAAACTTGAAATCACTTTTTTTGGTAGAGAACAGCTTTTTAGCCAAGAGGCTTTATGGTGATTAAGGACATAGATTCTAGAGTTATATTGCCTATAAGCAAATCCCAACTCTTTTTCTTTCTAGTTTTACATGGCATGTTGTGTAATGCTTAGCCTCTTGGTGCTGCAGTTGTCTTCATCTGTAAGATGGTGATAATAGTTCCCATCTCATAGATTTGTATAATGATTAAATTATTTAAAGCATGGAGTTACCACTCAGTTAGCGTTAGCTAACATTATTGTTGTGGCTGCTATAACTGTTAGCATCCTTGCTATTACTACTTCTGCAGCAATTGATCTTATCATCAACAACATTTATCAAAGGCAAACTATGTGAGACACTATAGTAAGGGTCTAGTAAGGAATAAGATAGGGCTAGGAGTGGTGGCTCACACCTGTAATCCCAGCACTTGGGGAGGCCAAGGCAGGTAGATCACCTGAGGTCAGGAGTTCGAGACCAGCCTGGCCAACATAGTGAAACCCATCTCTACTAAAAATACAGTTAGCCAGGCATAGTGGTAGGTGCCTATAATCTCAGCTACTCAGGACGCTGAGGTGAGAGAATCACTTGAACCCCGGAGGTGGAAGTTGCAGTGAGCCGAGATCATGCCGCTGCACTCCAGCCTTGGCAAAAAGAGTGAAACTTTGTCTCAAGGCAAAAAAAAAAAAAGAAAAAAAGAAATAAGACAGACAGCTTCTGTCTTGGCATAACTTACAGACTGGTAGGAAGCCAGGTACTGAACAATGCAAAAGAAGTTGTTTGGTCCTGTGGCTGCATAGAATGAGCTTAACATATTCTTGCCAGCTGGTGAAGGGCCAATGAGAACTTTCCATGAAAACCTGAAAAACTGATGTTTAAGTTGAAATAGGATGTGTACCTAAATGTAAGAAGCACACTTTTGAGCTGAGAAATCAAAAATAAATTTATACATGGGTTTCCTCTCAACATTTACACTGTAAAGATATATTAATCTTTATAGCATTATTCATGATACTTATAACTGTGTTTTCTCGGTCTCTTTTCAGTTTGGCTTTGAAATTAGTTTCCCTGAATTTTGTTTAAAGGGAGTCACACCTAAGAATTTTAGTACATCCAATTTAAATACTGACTTTCTTGCCAAAAAGATAATACCACCAAAGGATAAGAATATTTTGCCAAAGGTAATTGTGTTTAATTTTTTTGTGTGATCATTCGTGTGCATTTTTGTTCCTATAAAATGTTTGAATCTTGAATTAATATTACTAATATATATGATTAAGTGTGCTCACTAGCATAATTTTTAATATAATTAAGTACTTAAGTTATACTGTGTCATCAGCATTAAATTTTGGTGAACTTGTCATTGTTTTAGATGTTTAAAAAAATGTAGTGATACTAAATCAGTATAGCCCTGAAATCACCTTTGATTTGGACTTTATTATGAGCCCTTTCTAAGACTCATTTTGGAAAGAATATGACATAGTGTGAAGAGGGTATGTTTTGATTTTAGGTAAACATGGGTTTGGAACCTGACTGTGTCACCTATAAGGTCTTGTTTATAACCTTGGGTAGATTGATTAACTCATCTGTGAAAGTGGAGGCAGTAGTAACACCCTTATCTTACAAAGTTATTTTAAGGATTAAACGAGGTTAAGAGTTTAACATCTGACACAGTACCTGACATATGCTTAACGTAGAGTTTAAGAGGTATTAGTTATTGCCTCATGTCTCCTATACATTTGTTCATAAAATACAAGTAATTATAAAGTATAATAATTAGGAAAAGGTTCAGTTGGCTTTTTAACATTGGAAAAATAACATAAGAAGAGATATTTATATGAAAGCACCTTAGAATTCACTTTAAAAGACCTAATCTAAGAGTGTGGAAAACACTGGTCATGAAGTTAAAAGGGCATCAGATTGTTAATATTTTCTGATCAAAGCGTGGTACAAAAAGAGGGCATAATATCTGACTTGAACTCATTTCTCAGTGTTTGTTTAGAATTGCTTACTTTAAGTAACTTACTATGGCCTTCTTTCACCGGAATATTAAATTCTTTTCTAAAGATTCGAATTGTAAGATTCATGACCTCAACTTTTCTTCAAGTATGAATAATTTGTCTAAATTTTGCTACTGTTAAAGAGAATCTTAGGGCACAACTTCTTCAACAGTGTAAAATTCATATTCTCTCTCCTGTATGTGTATAGACACAAAAACACACTGTATACACATATATGTATATGATTTTATATATATATATATATGTATACACATGCACACATAATCATATATGGTGAAATTACTCAGCATTTTACAAATCTAAAGCTTTGTGTAACTTCTCCAAGAAGTGTTCTCTTTTCTTTGCCTTCCATCTGACACTCTGTGGCTCCAACTGTTGAAATAGCCGCCCTTCACTAACAAACTCTACTTCAGTTTTAGGCTTTACCCAAGAAATACAGTACTGAAATTTTACTTTTTATGAATGGAGTTTTCTATGTTAATTAGCACATGCTGGCTTCACTATCTTTTTCTGTAATTTATTTAGTCTTTTTGCTAGAATTTTTTTCTTTTAAATGTCAATGAACTCAATCTAAGTTCATCCTGGAATGTCTTTTCTTTGGCTTTTTTAGTCTGCAGATTCTGCCTACAGAGGTAGGTTGCTAATTTGTTTCGTCAGCATTGTTGCCTATTGGATCACTTGTCTGTCTTGTTGAAGATAAACAGCAAAAGTTGAGAGCTCTTGTCCTCTGTTGCTTACCTCTTTCCATACTTACTTTCTCCTGTGAAAGCTCTTCCTGATTACTAAGTGATCTCCATGTCTCTTTCTCTTCCCTGAAAGGTAGAATTGAAATAGAAGAAATTCTTATCTGCTGTAGAGGATTAAATGCTAGGCATGCATAATGTGTAAAAAGTTGCTTTTTAAGATCCATTTTAAAGTTTTACACCCTTAATCACTAATTTGTTTACTTCGTTTATGGTATTTAAATATTACATAATTTTAATTTCTTTTCTAGGTTTTCCATTATTATGGCTCTGCTTTAGAATTTGTGCAGATGATAAAATTATCAGATCTACCCTCCTGCTATATGTCAGACATTGAATTTGAGTTGTATCCTTTCATTTACATGTTCATTTTCAATTACATTTCCTGTGTCAGGTAGAATGTTCTGGTATTGTCAGGTAAATATATATGTTAGATATATTCATTATATTCATTGTTTTAATGTTGGTGCTCAGGTAGGCTGCTGGACTCCTTATTGTTGGAGTTGCTGGGGAAGGAAGTTCTTGCTTTTCCCACCACCTGGATCCTATACCTATTTTATCAGAAATCTTCCTCCCTATGCAAGCATCTTTATTTTCATTCAGTATTATTGAGGCTTTTCTGTGGATAGGGCTGTGGAAATAATACAGAAGTGATTGAGCCTTCCTTCTTTAATGCAGTTATAATGTTCTCTGCCTAAGCATAGGACTGATCTACTCTTATACCTAGTCTAGCATTAGCTGAAACTTTGTCCTTCCCACCCACTGTCCAGACACCACCACATGTATATTGTATGTGCTTTTGTTAACTTTACCATTATTTTATATAGTTTTAATGCTTTTTGGAAATGATTCCCCTTTTTCTGAAATCCAAGAATACCTCTCCATGACTTCTATGTCTTACTCAATATATTTCTCCTGAAGAAGTCTATAACTGCAATATAGCATAGCATATAGTAAGCACTCAATAAATATTGTCAGATGAATGACTTTGGATTATGTCCACCTAAATCAAAATACTCATTGTTTTCTTCTTGAAAATTCCTTGCTTCAGAAAAGATAACATTTATGAGGCATAGGAGAACCTTACCCAGCTGAGAACTGTTCGTAGTCTAGAATCACTAAAGAGTAGTGGTTTTTTGGTTTGAGGGTGTTGAGGGCAGTTGCTAAGTGATCAGATTGTAGAGTCTTTTCAGATTAATCAGGTCCTAAAAGACCTTATGTATCATGATTGGGGATAAATTCTATCCTAAAGATAATGAGGAATCATACAAAAATTTTAAGACAGACAGTGGCTTATTGAGAAGTAAATTTTAGATCATACTAGTAGGATTTTGGAAACCTGATCAAAGCTCGAACTAAACAAGTGGCATTTGGAATGGAGAGCGAGGGGAAAGTACATGATGTGTTAAAGATGTAAAATCAACATGATATCATGATTTATTTACTACATGCTGAGAAAGTGAGAAGGCCAGAGAGTGTAATTGATTCCCTGTGTTGAAACTGGTGTCACTAGGTGGGATGACATGAAATTTCATCCATTGTACATTACTGTTGAGAACCATTTAGCCAGCATGCTACCTGGCAGTATAACTGCAGGTGTTTCTGAAAGGTGCTGCTCTGGTTGCAGAAGGCAGGAGCCAAGAGCCATACCCATTCAACTTATCTTTCAATCTCATTATCTGGAGAACTGAGTCCTCAATTTTCCTTGGAAGGTGCTTTGAAAACCATTGGTTTTCAAATCTAATATAAGATAAATCTAATGTAAGATAAATATGTCAAATATTGACAAATATGTCAAATAGCTTCTGACCTACAAGCTGCTAATAGATGAGGAGAGGGAAAAGAAGGATTAATGGTAGATTGTTTCTGCAACCAGATCAGTACCTCTTCTGTCCTAAATATTGGGTTTCCAGATAAAGTGTCACCTGCAAAAGGTGTCTGCATCAAAAAGGTTTGCAAAGCACACTGTAAACTGTTTTCATGGTACCACCCAGCATTTAGATGTTTGACCATGTTTTTGCATAATATTCAATATAGTTTTTACTACCATTATGTTAAGAAAAGTTCTACAACTTGAAAAAAAACTTCCCTTAAATACTGTATTAATGCTTTTAGGATAGTCAGAGGACTTCCTGGTGTATGGAGTAGAAAGGAAGGAGAAATGTTAGGAATCTGTGGGAAAAAAACAAGTAATTTATGTACTTAAAAAATGTTTAAATGTTTCTTCTGCCATCAGTGTGAAGAAACATAAGTATCAGTCAGCTGATGTATCATTTTATATATTTAAGTAAATGTAAATGCTATCACATATATCTGCAAATATATTAAACATATTAAACTCTCTTTTAAAAATATATAAGAATGTTTAGAAATACACCTCAGAACAGAACATTTTGTATAAAAAGAATTTGTTGTTAGCAGGAAAAGAAACACTATCATAGTGTTATATGAATTTTTATTTAGAAGCTACAGTTTCTATAAATTTCTTGTTCTGTTAGTTTATAGTAATGCTCTTTATAGTAGCACTGTTTCTTAGTATATTTTCAGAATCAATTGGAAAAATAATTATCCTTAGGGAAAGGAGTAATTGTTAATTGCTACAGTTAATTTTTTTTTTTTTTTTTTTTTTTTGAGACGGAGTTTCGCTCTTGTTATCCAGGCTGGAGTGCAATGGCATGATCTCAGCTCACCGCAACCTCCGCCTCCTGGGTTCAAGCAATGCTCCTGCCTCAGCCTCTCGAGTAGCTAGGACTACAGGCATGCACCACCATGCCCAGCTAATTTTTCTATTTTTAGTAGAGGCGGGGTTTCACCATGTTGACCAGGATGGTCTCGATCCCTTGACCTCATGATCCACCCGCCTTGGCCTCCCAAAGTGCTGGGATTACAGGCGTGAGCCACCGCACCCAGCCCCAGTTAAATTTTTTAATAAATGAATTCAAGCAACGGTGGAAGAATTGAAATAGTGAAACTTTTTTTAAGGAGTAAATTGTTTCACTGATACCATTACATCATTTCTTTAACTCCTTAGTACAGAGGATTGACAAACAGTACCAAACAGAATTCTGTGTTGCTGTTGGAGCAGATTTCTTCTCTGTGTAGCAAGGTATGGAGGGTTTCTTGGGTTTTTGTTGTTGTTGTTGTTTTTATACTTGACATTTAAGGATGTGTAAGAAAAGGGAATGTAACTTGTTAATCTGTTTGCTTGATGACTTAGTTTCTTTAATATAAGATGATTTTGGACCTAACTCATATTAAGACATTTTGGACTTTTCATAAAGCTGTAAAAGTACTCCTCAAACATAAGTGACATTTTGTTTGTAGGAGAGATTTTCAGAAATAAGGTTTATGACTGGTAACTGCTTTAAAATTTTAAAATAACAATGTTATTGTTAACCTACTTTTTCAACATCTGTTTTCAGTTCTATGAGTAGACATTCATATAGTTGGATTCTTTTTTCATTGTAGGGCAGGGAATGAAAGTGAAAAAAGCTTCTCAAGTTTCCCTAAATTGTCATTTGGGAGTTTTCAATTTTTCTGTCTAAATTCTAATGACGTTTAGGAGATTTATGGCTACTTTAACAGTTATTTTGTATACGTAATGATATAAAATTAGTATTTTTTAACTTTAAAAAAACTGTAATAGAAAGAATTTTAAGTGGAATCATCTATTTAGAATTAAATTCAGTTTTTAATAGGAAGAAGTAAAAGCTTGCTTTCTTTCTAGTTATTTATTCAACTATTATATTTCTGTGAAAACAATTTTTAATACACAAAATGTTTATTGGCAGTACTTAGATAACATTTTCGTATTGTTTTAATAACAAATAGACTGCCAAACAATCCTGCAGGGAGAAAATGATTGTTATAATTATAGCAGTTTCCCTGTGGTGCTGTAAGTTATAATTCTTATAGAAAATTGCTATAGTAAAGGAAAAATGATTTTGACCCTAAGATGTATACTTGACTATACAGTAACTTAAAATTTTGGCCTCCAGCCTTTTTTTTTCTGTAAATGTAATAGTCCTTTGAATAGGGCACCAAAAGTATTTATTTGATAAAATGACCTTTGACCAGTATTAACCTGGCTTTCGTCCTCTAAGGATAACTAATGTGCTAAATTTTGAAATTTTGAAATTTATCTTTTATCATTTATCCAGCATGTATTCTACTGTTTGTGAGGCATTATACTAGATTTCGGGAACCTAGTAATGAAGTGTACAGATGAAGCTGCTATACTTGTGGAACTTACATTTTAGGGGACAAACAGAAAATAAGTAACTGTGGACTTCATAAGAATGATGAAGAAATAAACAGCCTGCAATAGGTAATAAGTCAAGAGACCCTACTCTAGATAGAGATTAATAAGGTCATACATTTCTCCAGAACTATTTGCAGAGACATCTTATGAATGAGTATAGCTTTTTTAAGTGCACTGAGAATAAAAAATACCCTGCTTCTATTTTAATCCAAGTAGCTAAGTAGCTCTTTATATAACCCTGTCTAGTCACCTAATCTTTTGGAGCTGCTTCATTCTATGGGATGAGAATATTATTATTTATCATTAATTATCTCATCTCTATTGTCAAATAAGGGAAGAAATGAATATAGATGGTACAGTAAAAAGTCTAAAATAAAATAACATATTCTTTTTTTTTTTTTGAGACCGAGTTTCGCTCTTATTACCCGGGCTAGAGTGCAATGGCGCGATCTCGGCTCATCGCAACCTCCGCCTCCTGGGTTCAGGCAATTCTCCTGCCTCAGCCTCCCGAGTAGCTGGGACTACAGGCACGCACCACCATGCCCAGCTAATTTTTTGTATTTTTAGTAGAGACGGGGTTTCACCATGTTGACCAGGATGGTCTCGATCTCTTGACCTCGTGATCCACCCGCCTCGGCCTCCCAAAGTGCTGGGATTACAGGCGTGAGCCACCGCGCCAGGCCCAAAATAACATATTCTTTAGAAAACTTGAGTTTATACCATACCTATGCCACTCACTGGCTTATAGCTTTTAATATTGCAAACTGGGAAAAATAATCCCTCTGTTACCTTTTTCAGAGTTGTAATAAAAACCAAATTGGAATATATTTTATACACTACAAAGTATGATATAAATGATGGTTGCTAACTAATTTTTTATTGTCTTTGAAGTTTATGTGGCCCATTAAATGATTGACACATAGGTGAAACAGTTTCCTTAAAAGTGTAAAGCACTAGACATTCTCCAGGTAATTTGAAGATATGATGAAATTTATAGAAATGTAACAGAAGAATTTGTAGAAATCTTATAGAGACTGTTTCCTTTTTTGTTTTGAGACGATGTCACACCCTGTTACCCAGGCTGGAGTGCAATGGCACAATCTCAGCTCATTGCAACCTCCACCTCCCAGGTTCAAGCGATTCTCCTATATCAGCCTCCCAAGTAGCTGGGATTACAGGCATGCACCACCATGCCCAGCTAATTCATAGAGACTATTTCAAGTCAAAATTCGATCTGTATCTATAGCTTAACACAGTTGTAACATAATCATTAGTCCATCTAGTTATTGAAGACAGACAACACTAATCCTAGAAGCAACCTAAATTATTGATGTTTAGTAATATATTTTCAGTTGTTTTGTTTTAAATTTGTTGTATTAGATTATCATTTTTTCTTCTTTAATCATGACTGTAAAATATTACAACATACTTTATTAGTAAGGAATAGAGACTTTATGTTCCCAGTTTAATGCAGCAAAAGGGATTATTTTTGAAGCCATATTTTATGTGACTTAGAAAGCAAATGTCTAAATGTGAAGTAGTTTATTTTTCTTTTACATCGAGCTATAATTTGTTTTTTACTTTTTTTTTTTTTTTTTTTTTTGAGACGGAGTCTCATTCTGTTGCCCAGGCTGGAGTGCAGTGGTGTGATCTCAGCTCACTGCAATCTCTGCCTTTCAGGTTCAAGTGATTATCCTGCGTCAGCTACTCAAATAGCTAAGACTATGGCATATGACACCATGCTTGGCTAATTTTTTTGTGTGTATTTAGTAGAGACAAAGTTTCGTCATGTTAGTCAGGCTGATCTCTAACTCCTGACCTCAAGTGACCCACTCACCTTGGCTTCCTAAATTGTGGGATTACAGATGTGAGCCACTGCACCCAGCCATTTTTCACGTTTTGAAAAAGTATTTAATTACATACCAGTTCTTTGAAATCTAGTGCTTTATAACTTGTGTTTCAGCCAGGCGTGGTGGCTCATACCTGTAATCCCAGCACTTTGGGAGGCCAACGCGGGCAAATTACCTGAGGCCAGGAGTTTGAGACCAGCCTGGCCAACATGGTGAAACCCTGTCTCTACTAAAAACACAAAAAATTAGCTGGTATAATGGTGGGTGCCTGTAGTCCCATCTATGCGGGAGGCTGAGGCAAGGGAATCACTTGAACCCAGGAGGCAGAGGCTGCAGTGAGCCAAGATGACACCACTGCACTCGAGCCTGGGCAACAGAACTAGACTCTGTCTCAAAAATAATAAATAAATAAATAAATAAACAAATAAATAAATATCTTAGGTTTCATTTATTAAACAATCTTTTTTTTTCTTTTTTAAAAAATGTTTTTACTGCTACTATCTGACAGATGCTTTGTTCTTGATATTAGATAGAATAAGGTGGACAGGCCCTTTCTCAGGAAACTCTTGTGGTACTTAAATTCTGTTGCTTTGTGTGATCTTCAGTCAGCATCTTAGCTTAAACAAATTATCTTTCTATGTGTCTATGATTAGCCTCAGAATGTAAATTAAAGGTTCTTGGAGTAAAGCTTCTTTTATCAATAATTAAGCTAGATTAGGAAAAGACAAGATAGGATTGTTAGGGAATTATGATGTTCACTAATCTTTTGACTGGGAAATATTTCTTCAAAGAGAGGAATTTGAAAAGTTAGAAACATGATTTCCACTTGTTGAGGAGGACCTACTGAAGAGATTGAATCAAGAGTTTTAAACTTAGGCCAGGTGCAGTGGCTCACACCTGTAATCTCAGCATTTTAGAAGGCTGAGGTAGGTAAATCACTTGAGATCAGGAGTTCAAGACCAGCCTAACCAACATGGCAAAACCCTGTCTCTACTAAAACTATACAAAAAATCAGCCAGGCATGGTGGCATGTGCCTGTAATCCCAGGTACTTGGGAGGCTGAGGCAGGAGAGTCACTTGAACCAGGGAGGCAGAGGTTGCAGGGAGCCAGGATCATGCCACTGCACTCCAGCCTAGGCAACAGAGTGAAACTGTCTTAAAAAAAAAAAAAAAAGACGTTGAAACTGAGATTCGAAATGTTATTTGGCATTTATATTCTGTAGATGGTATGATAGCCTGAACAGATCATCCACAAGTCTCTCAGAGTCTATCTAATGATTAGCGTATGGGTGAGAACAAGTTATCAGCACCTGAGTATATTACGAATGCATTATAAACAACTGACAAGTTTATTTTGTAGGGAATTATAGTTTGTGTGATTTAGAAATATTTATTTTCATATTTGTAGCAAATGTCTAGTCAATATCAGGATGTCTCAAAAATGTGGCAATTTCAGCTAATGGGTCCCACCACATTTATATTAGGCTACAAGTAATACATTGAACAGCATTTGACATCCCTAAAATGCTGAGAAAGCTGTAAGTGGGATCCAGTCTGGGATACTCACATTACAGCGTTGTCTACCTTTTTAGCTGTTCAGTCTGGTCACATCTTTTGGACTGTGAAGTCTTATGTATGCAAACAGGAAGAATTAGGATTTAATGTTGAGAAGATTAAAAATATTTTTTATATTTCATCATTATTTTCTATTGCTAAATATTTTTATTTTTAACTTCTAATGCTTAACCACATAAAATATATTGACTTTTAAAAGATGATGGCTATAATAATAAAGAAAAATAAACATATTTCTTTTAACTTTTCTTATTATTTTCCTAACATATTAGGTTGGTATAAAAATAATTGTAGTTTCAGACCACAAATTTTAAATCATTGTAACTAGGCTCAAACACATCTTTATTAATAAAAATAGAAACCATTGGCAGGGCGCTGTGGCTCACGCCTGTAATCCTAGCACTTTGGGAGGCCGAGGCGGGCAGATCTCGAGATCAGGAGATTGAGACCATCCTGGCTAACGCGGTGAAACCCTGTCTCTACTTAAAATACAAAAAATTAGCCAGTTTTGGTGGTACCTACCTGTAGTCCCAGCTACTCGGGAAGCTGAAGCAGGAGAATCACTTGAACCAGGGAGGTGGAGGTTGCAGTGAGCCAAGATTGTGCCACTGTATTCCAGCCTAGGCAGCAGAGAGAGACTCCGTCTCAAAAAAATAAAAAAGTAAAAATAGAAACCATTGCAATCAACACATTTTGCCAATGAGAATTAAGTTTGTTAATTCCTGTAGTGTAAAAATCCATGCTTTGGAAATTGACAAACTCTTGGAAAGCATTTTCTGTATGCTGCCTTTCCTGTGGGAGCATTTTCCCTGCAAAAGGTTGTTGAGATGCTTGAGGAAGTGGTAGTCCGTTGGCGAGAGGTCAGGTGAATATGACAGGTGATGCAAAATTTTGTGGCCCAATTCATTAATCCTTTGAAGCATTGCTTCTGTGGCGTGTGGTTGGGTATTGTCATGGATAACATTGGACCCTTTCTGCGCAGAGCATACTTCTGAGATGTAATGGTTTTGCCAGGATTCAGAAAGCTGTTGTGGATCAGAATGGCAGCAGACCATGAAACAGCGACCATGACCTTTTTTTTTTTAGTGCAAGTTTGGCTTTGGGAAGTGCTTCAGAGCTTCTTAGTCCAACCACTGAGTAGTTGTCGCTGGTTGTCATATTAAATCCACTTTTCATCACACAATCTGATCGAGAAATGGTTTGTTGTTGCGTAGAATAAGATGACACTTCAAAAACGTCAATTTTTAAAGTTTTTGCTCAGCTCATGAAGCACCTACTTATTGAGCTTTTTTGTTTTGTTTTGTTTTTTTGATGTGGGGTCTCACTCTGTTGCCCAGGCTGGAGTGCAGTGGTGCGATTTGGGCTCACTGCAACCTCTCCCTCCTGGATTCGAGCAGTTCTCCTGCCTCAGCCTCGCAAGTATCTGGGACTACAGGCATGTGCCACCACATCCAGTTAATTTTTGTATCTTTAGTAAAGACAGGGTTTCACCATATTGGCCAGGCTGGTCTCGAACTCCTGACCTCGGGTGATCCGCCTGCCTCAGCCTCCCAAAATGCTGAGATTACAGGTATGAGCCACCATGCTCCTGCCTTATCAAGCTTTCTCACCTTTCTAATTTGATTCAAATGCCAAACGACCATAGAATGGTTGATTGACGGTGAGTTTTTCTGCAACTTGTTGTGTGGCTATAAGAGGATCTGCTTCGATGATTGCTCTCAATTGGTCATTGTCAACTTCCAATGGCTGGCCACTATATCACTCATTTTCAGGGCTCTTGTCTCCTTTGCAAAACTTTTTGAACCACCACTGCACTGTATGTTCTTTAGCAATTCCTGGGCCAAGTGCATTGATGTTGCGAGTTGTCTCCACTGCTCTGTGACCCATTTTGAACTTGAATAAGAAAATTGCTCACATTTGTTTTTTGTCTAACATAATTTCCATAGTCTAAACATAAAACAAACAGCAAGTAATAAGTTATTAGCAAGAAAATATAAAGCAAGAAATGCACATTAAAATAATATATAACATAACCGCATTTATTTAAGAATGTATTCCAAATCAAATGGCAAATTCCATCAGTGCAAAAACTGCAATTACATTTGCAACAGCCATAATATTTATTTTTATATCTGTGAATTAAGTAAAAATAATAAATAGCAACAAAACTACCATATTAAAGTATTAGTGATCACATATTTCATATAACAAGTCCATTGATACAGGACAGTTAAAAGTGATTTTGCACTAGGTTTAAGATCTTTGGCAAATGCCTTGCCTAAATTTTCCTGAAGTTTTAAAATTAAATTAATGGAATTTACCGAGATGTGCTGATTGATATAGCTGCATTTCTAGAATAACAGGAAGAATATAGCTTTCAGAACTGTGGTTGTGTTATTCAGCCCTTAATCAAACTTAGAATTTACCTAAATATATTATGGTGATTTTGTTGAACCAATATTTAATAAGCTTCTGTATCCCCGGCCCTGGCAATCTGAAGATAAATAAGCTGAGTTTGCTCATAAATCAGTCAGAAGTTGCTGTATGTTTTCTAGCATATAATCCATTGTCTTCTCTGCAGTTTTTACCTAGTAGCACTAAATTTCTTGTTTCCAGGAACAAAGTTTCTAAATTGCCTTCAAATGTATTTTAATTTCGAAGCCAGAACAATAATCCATCTAGTCAAAAAGTTATAAGATGATGGCTGAATATAACAAAATCTTTTGGTGTTAGAACTCAGCCTTACACTGTTTTGTATATATGCAAAGAAATTACATCCACAATCTGAACTTGAAGCAAATACTGTGAATTTTTCAGAGATGTTTGAATGCCTTTCACTGTTTTTGTTTATCTGCATTTTGGCTTCTGTTTTGCTTTGTTTTGACAGAGGGTGAGCCATTGTTCTTACTTTTAAATTTTTATAGTGCAGTTATTGGGAGAGGGCATTACTAAATGCATGTTAAATAGGTGAAATATGGGTGGAAAATTGTCAGTTGGCACTATTCAAGTTATAAGATGATGGTTGAATATAACAAAATCTTTTGTTGTATTTGAATGCATCTCAGTGTGCAATCAATAAAAATATGGTCTGTTTTATCCAGGTTGGTGCTCTTTTCGTATTGCCATGTACCATTAGTAACATACCTGTTCCGCCTCCCAACCAACTCAGTTCAAGAAAGTGGAAGGAATATATAGCTAAAAAGCCTAAGACAATCAGTGGTAAGTATTACATGGTTCAGTTGTTTTAATGATGCAGCATAGTTCATGTGTTTATCAAATGTGAAGTGAAGATAACATTTCTATATGAGAAAACAGTATGCCATATGACTGCTACTGAATACCAGGAGTCCACCTCATTTTAAGATTTTTAATCGCAGGCCGGGCGCGGTGGCTCACGCCTGTAATCCCAGCACTTTGGGAGGCCGAGGCGGGTGGATCACGAGGTCAAGAGATCGAGACCATCCTGGTCAACATGGTGAAACCCCGTCTCTACTAAAAATACAAAAAAAAATTAGCTGGGCATGGTGGCACGTGCCTGTAGTCCTGGCTACTCGGGAGGCTGAGGCAGGAGAATTGCCTGAACTCAGCAGGCGGAGGTTGCGGTGAGCCAAGATCGCGCCATTGCACTCCAGCCTGGGTAACAAGAGCGAAACTCCGTCTCAAAAAAAAAAAAAAAAAAAAAAAGATTTTTAATCACAACTTATATGAAGTATCTCTAACCATATTCATTTAAAATGCTAGTGATCCAAAGGCAGAACTCTTGGTTCATTAGATAGCTAATTATATTGAACATGGATTTCTTAGAGACATTTCAGGAATCAAATTTGTGAAAAGAGTGGTTTATTTATTATACGGTACATTAAAAAAAAAAAAAAAAAACCATGATAATTTTTTGAAGAAATTAGAAGTTTATTTATTTATTTAGAGATGGAGTCTTGCTTTGTCATCCAGGCTGGAATGCAGTGGCATGAACTTGGTTCACTATAACCTCCATCTCCCAGGTTCAAGTGATTCTCCTGCCTCAGCCTCTTGAGTAGCTGGGATTACATGCACCACCACGTCCAGCTAATATTTGTAATTTGGGTCAAGACAGGGTTTCACCATGTTGGCCAGGCTGGTCTCGAACTCCTGACCTCAAATGATCTGCCCGCATCTAACACCCAAAGTGCTAAGGTTACAGGAATGGGCCAGTGCGCCTGACCTGAAATTTTTTATTTAACAGTTTATGTGTTATACAGTATTCCAAGTATTGTATTTTAGAAGTATTGATTCATCTAATTTTTGTAATAACCCCATATACTTACTTTTATCCTCATTTTACAGATGAGGAAATTGGGGCTTAGAGCAGTGACAGAGCTGTTAATTGGCAGAACCTATGGCTCTGTCACTTCTCCAAGGATTTGAACCTATGCTCTGTGCTCTTTACCGGTACACTGGGTTTCCACTCTTCCTCTAGTGGAAACCCTGGTATTTCATGAGGTGATTGTGACTTAGGATGTTAAAATTACTTTCCCAAAGTCACATTGGTGAGGTGTATTCCTTCATACTTCTGCGTTGATGTGTGTGTTTTTTAAATTGAACAAAAATTTGTTTACTTTTTTTTTAGCTTATGGTTTTTGTGACCCATAATATGATGGGACTAAGAACTGTAACTGAAACATGTGTACCAGAACTATTATGAAAAAATCTGTAGAAATACGCCACAGGGCCCTTGAATTTTCAGGAATACAATTTTAAAATCAGTAGCTTATACAGTACAGATTTCCTATTTCTCCATAGAGTAAATAGGAGAGATACTGAATTCTATTTTAGCAAATGTTGAGTTCCAAATTCAGATAAGATACCTATGTGGAAATTTAAATGTAGACTTTGAAATTTAGATATAGATCTCTAGATAATAGTCAGGGCTGGACATTCAGATTTTGAGTTTGCCAGCAGTTTTGTTTATCTATTGTGTAGTAAACCACCCCAAAATGTAGTGGCTTGAAAGAGCAAACACTTTATTTGCTTAGAGTTTTGCAGTCTGAGCTGCCCTCAGCAGAATATTCTACTGATCTCACTGGTGGTTATTGATGTGGGTACTTTGAACTTTAAGATCATTTGGAGGCTGGGCTCACCGGAGCAGGCTGGCGTTCCGTGTTCCTTTAGTCTCAGAGCCTTTTCCTTGCCACATGGTCTCCTCGCATCATGTCTCCTGCTAATTAGCTGGAATCTTTCCATGGTGGCTCAGGACAAACACATAGAAGTTGAAGCTGCCAGGACTTTTTAGGCTTAATCCCAGGACTAGCTCTGTCTTACTTCTGTTGCATTCCATTATTTAGAGCTAGTTGCAAGAATAGTCCAAATTCAAGGGGAAGTGCCCATCCAAATGTGTAAATAATAGGAAGCCAGCAGTGTAAAAGGTCTACCATAGCTGCCTACAGGTAGTAGTTAGGAATGGTTGAAAACAACCCATAAAGAACATGGCTAGAGAAGAGAGCCAAGGATAGGGTCTTTGGAAATACAGTCGTCCTTCAGTATCCACTGGGGATTGATTCAGGACCCCTGTAGATAACAGAATTCCTAGATGCTCAAACCCCTTATATAAAATGGAGCAGGAGTTGCATATGACCTGTGCACATTCTCCTGTATGCTTTATTTCATCTCTAGATTACTTATAATGCCTGATACAATGTAAATGCTATGTAAATACTTGTTATATTGTTTTTTTAGATTTGTATTCTTGTTGTTAATTTGTTATTTTAAATAATTTTTTGGGATATTTTCAATTTGTGTTTGGTTGAATCCAAAATGTGAAACCCATAGATATAGAGGGCAAATTGTGCCTGCATGTAAGATAAAGTGGAGGGAAAGTTAGGAAATGATATAGTAAGTGGTCTTTGGAAGACCCTATCAAGTTACCATTAACATCAGCATTGAAATACCACTTATATAATAGGGCATGGTGCAAAGTATGGGAAATAAAGGAGCATCAAGTTGAGTTTTTACGCTTGAGGAGGTAGATTAATGGTCCTTTTCTTTGTGAAATTTATACTCAAGTGAGGAACATACTAGGAAAAAAGCTATAAGTCTATTTAGCGAACATTGTGAAGGAAAAATGAAAGGTACTTCAGAGTATATGACCTAACATAGCCTTAAGAGCTCAAGAAAGGTTTCCTATAGGAGACATTATTACTGTAGCTTATTGCACCATACTGGTACATGAACAAGCACAACTTTTAACCCTTCTCATCTTACAGGGAACAAATATGTATTTGGTAATTTTCGCACTTGCTGAAACAAAATCAGAAATAGATTTTTGAGTGGCAATATAGTCCATTTTACTTATTCTACATGTCATCATGGGATAATACTGATCCATTTCTCAGCTTTACAAATGTCCAAAATTGATTCGACATGTTTAATTAGACATATGCAATCAGTTAATCATAATATTAACACCTCCTCAGTAAAATTGAGTATATGCTGGCAGCCCATTCATTATTTATTTTTTTCTTGTAACTTTCTCCAACTTCAAACAACCATTACGTTGGAACTCCTGATTTTAAGGTAATTTAAAATCAGGGGTTTTTTTTGTTTGTTTTGTATTGTTTTTTTGCATGATTTCCATTGTAATTTTAAGAAAATACCATGTGGCTTGATTTGATTTTTTTTTTTAATTATCACCTCTTGAAATTTGAGCATTAATATTGGTAACTTGTGAATAATAATAAGACACAGATCACATGATAATCTTTAAAGCCAGATTGTTGATTACCGATTAGGCTGGATCATTAGGGGCTGATCAAGCTGACACTTTACAGTATTTGAAAAAACTCTTGGAAGTAGAAATAAAATCAAAGTGGACAGTTGATTATTTAGTTCTATTCTACCCATAATTTTTTCTGTAGGAGAAATTCTTACCCATTGACGGAAGTTTTTTTGAAAAAATAGAGAAGCTGAGTTTTAACTAATGTAAAAGCTTCAATAACTCACACCTGGAAAACTTCCTGACCCTTCCTAGCATCACTAACAATAGCGTTTCTCACTATCCGAAATCATATAGTGACTCTCAGATCATTCTCCTTCACCATGACGCTGTGTCTCCATAATCTACTGAATTATGCTCAACTGTTCTCCATTGTTGCCACATATGTTCCATAATCTTCATTCTAACTTTGTACTATTTCCTAAAAGTATTCCCTGATTTTATTCCTTTGTGACTTTATTATTCGTTCATTCATCTAGTCAGTCAGTCATACCTTTTATTCATTTATTTGAATATACAGCAGATACTGTTTATCAGGCATAGTACTGTTATCTTGGGATTAGTGATCCATGAGATAGACTTAAGCCTTCCTCTCATGGAATTTATACTGTATGATAGAAAATAGATATTCAGAAGTTATTATAACATTGTATTTAGTGGCAACTGACTAGAAAAAAATCCCCAAGACATACTGAATGAAAAAAGCAAGACATACAATGGTTATGTTATTATTAATGCTAAAAACTACTTTGTATAAATAGAGCATTTATACATATTTGTGTATGCATTAAGTATCCACTTTTTCAACAGATATTTTTATTGAGCACCTACAATATATTAGGCACTGTTTTACATGCTGGACCAGCAGTAAATAGAACAAAATCCTTGCCCTAAGCTGACTTTATGGTAGAGGTAACAGATTTAGTTCTTCCCCTAGATAGCCATATGACTGACTCCTAATTTTTTCAGGTCTTTACTCCAAAATCATTTTTCTCATTTAGGACCTTTTTTGCCAACCCATCTAAAGTTGCAAACAGACTCTTCTCCTGACCTCTTATTCATCTTCCTAGCTCTATCTTTTTACCTTAGTACTCATGCTGTCTAATATACTAAATGTGTGTGTGTCTCATACTTAACAGTTACTCAAAAATATTTATTAAATAATGAGTGAAGTATGTATTTTTAGGTAGTCATAACTGCTTTCTAGACAAATAAAGACTTTGAATGCATATTCTGCACATGGATCCCAGATCTCAAAGTATAGTAATAATTTTAAAAATTTAGTCTTCAATTTTATGTCTTGATATTTGTGGAAATCATTTATTCTCATGTAGCAGAATAATAGTATCTGACAGTTTTATAATTCTAGATGTTTGATAATTTAAAAAATCTAAATTCCACTATTGTCTCATATTTTTACAATTGGAATTCTTTTGAAAAGAAACATGCTTAAAGATACTCTTGGAGAAAA